AAGCACTTCCTTGTCACAGTGCTGTTCAAAACCCAAGTATAAAAGGGTACCTGCTTGTTGTAGAAAGGGAAATGAGGGTCAGAGGCTGGACATGGGGGCAAATTGACAACTAACAGAAATCAATGGCACTCTCTGGCTGAGGCGTCATGTGCATAGATGCACCAAGAGGACTAAGCTAGGCTAAGCTAAGCTAGGCTAAGCTGGTTGTCATCAATAGAAATTAAACGCGGGGAGAACTTGTAATGTACTAGTATCTCATTCCAGATCAGTAACAATATTCCTATTCTCTTTAATCTATAGCAGCTATGCTAGTCAGTTTTGCATGCTGCCCTCACCAAATGATTAAAATACCTGTTTGTATTCACTTAACCTACAAAACAAGAGGCCTCATCTAACCTGCTGCTGTTGAAGGCGAAACATATCACTGTTTGGATTCTGCAGTTGCTCCTCAGCATCTCTGACAGCACAGCTATCGATGTTGACAGGCAGGGGAGCATTTGCAGTAAGATGATTGTGGAAGATGCTCTCTGCTTCCATTTTCAGCTAAGAGAAGAAAACACCAAACTTACTATAAAAATTTTGACTGGGACTTCATAGGTCACTTGCACTCTCATACATATTAGTTTTCCATTTTGGAAACAATACTGGTTGATAAAAACATACTTCTCTTCCCTCCCTGGTCAATCACACACATGATTTCTAGCAATCACATGTTGCATGAACCACTTGGAAAGAATTTTTTCAACCCTGTTAAAGTGCAAACATTTTCTATATCTGCATGTTCAAAAAAGCAAGCCCAAAAAGGTACTATGCCTCCCAATGTACGTCGTTAGACAAAACTAATCAAATAGTAGAGGGGAATGACAAATCCAAGTCAATTTTATACACATCACACAGCTCTTCCACCAATTTTCAAAAACCTTTGGCACATAATTATGTTTCAAGACAATCACAATGCATTCATTGCAGAGAAGCAAAGTGCATCCCTCCATCATGCAATTCCATTCCCTTCCCCCCCTTCCCTTACAAGTATTGTGCTCTCTATTCATCACACAGACTTACTTTGTTTGAGCTAAATATTAAAAAGTCAAAGAGAGACAGAAATACAGAAAAGAGAAGAAAAGAAAAATTTTCATAATTATAGCAGTCTTTCAAATAAAGTTTCTCAGTAACTGTAATTATGTCCCTTGTTGCTATTTCTCAGAATGACTTTCTTACATACCTCTTCAAAATCTGAGATATTCCTGAAGTTTTCACAAGCAATCCAGAAAACAATGTTTTCATCGCTAAATTCTTTCTTCAAGAATTCCTGCAAAGACATTTTGAAAGTTTTAGATCAAAAAGTGTTTTGTTGTGTCAGTGAAAATAGAAAAAAATGAGATACAAACAGAAGGGAACAGAGGATAAATGTCAAATAAAGGGAAAATAGATACATGTAGCATAGCGGTTACAGCTTTTCCCTCCCATAGCAGTTTCGTTCCTGGGTGCGATTCCCAGACCTAACTTTACATAATATGCTTTGAGTTAACAGCTTGTTTTTGTCCTTACTTCCAGGGTTTCTCTGATTGAGGCTTCTTCAGTTTTTCACCCTCCAAGCAAACCTACACACTAAATCCAATTTCAAGTGGGAGCAGTGAACAAACAGCCACCTCATTGATACCCTCCAGGCTAAAATGCAAGCTGCATATTTATTAATTTATTTACAACTTGTGCAAATATCTATTTATTATTTTGTATAAAGTATTTGTGTACATGTGTACCTTGAAACAGCCCAATCCAGCAGGATCTTCCATGAGCTTGTCAAACCCAAGAGCCCATCTTCCAACTCTGCCATCCACCTGAGACATATCGCCAGGCATGCTACTCAGACTGTGAATACTTGGAGTGCTCGAACTGATACTTGCACTGGCAATTAATGTCTTTCTGCTTTGGGTTGCTCCTACAACTGCATCAACCAAAGCAGCAATATTAATATGACAGAGAAAAGTAACAAAAATTCAGCAAGCAATGGCCACTTATCATCTAGAAAAATTCACAACAACCCTGCTATCCTACCACTCAGACTCTCTCTATATGCTTCCTTAAAAAAAAAATTAAGTTTGCAGTGTTCACCTTAACTAGGTTGCTTACAAAATGACAAAATTCAAACTTGTCTCAAACAAAATTGTCTCATTTTCATTCAAACACATTAAGTCATTTACTCTCTATGATTTTATACTAGATTTGTAGCTATAAATTGCCAACCAAATTAATTCCAGCCAGAACTTCACATTTAATTCCCCCCCCCACTCTACAACCGTTATGAATCTAGAGGTGATTTAGTCTTCATTTATCAAACAATTGGCAATTTTTAAAATGTGTTAAAATCCTACTTACAATCAAACAAAAACCAATCATACAACACAAGCAAAAATATACAAATGATGTGGCTTACCTATATCTGAATGTGCCAAAGACTGAAAAATAAAGAACATAAAAAGATCTAGTTAATTACAAAAGCAAAAACAAGTTGAGTTGATTACAAACTTGATACTGTGCTTGACATAGAAACAAACCTCACTGCCATTTAAGTGTGAGCTAGTTACCATCTGAGGCAGATAAAAGCTCACTGAAGCTTCCTTTTCAATACCATAACTACTCTAATAAATCACAGTCTTCAAACCCAAATTTCTAATTACCTACCTCTTTATCTTCCTTGAGATAAAAAATAATAGAAGTTTTGTAGATCAATTAGGATATGTCACACATAAGTAACAAGCCACATAAAAGAAAACCTGTAGTACTTTCTATACCAAATACCATGGGTTTTTAACCAATGAAATACAATTGCAAACTGTATAGCAAATGTAGTAGGCTGATGTAAAAAAAAAAAAAGAAAAGAAAAAAAACTGAGAAAATAGTGAATTGCATTTTTTCCTTCTGTGGCTTTTTAATAAATTACACCTCTTATACCCTCTTCACCTTTCCAACATTAATTGCTTCAAGACATAAAATTCAAAAGCCAGGAACCTTCATGAGAATTAGAACCCTAAAATTTCCTATCATCAGTTTGATGCTCTCCCTCTGAGCTTCTGGAAAGTTTTGTGTGAGTGCGAGTTTGCAGTTTTGCTAAAATGTGGAAGTTTTTCATCCTTTTCTCTATGGCTTGCAAATCTATGTTTAACTTAGTACTTTGCACCTTTTGAATCAGACAGCTGTACAACTGGTATTAAAAAACAGCAAACATTAAACCTCTCAGCCTTTAAAAATAAGGGTGTACGTGTAACACTACAAAAACTTGTACCCAGCCTTCATAAACAACTTAATGTCCATAATATGCTGGTTAGTTTCTTGTGATTAAACTTGAAATAGTTTAAGTGTATCATCTACAGTGTATATCCTGCCACATCAAAGCACTTAAAGGCTGCTTAAAATTCAAATTTAGCGCAATTACTAGGTTTGCAATGATCTAATTAATGTTTACAAAGCAAAACTTCAAATTTGGTTCCTCTATAAGTATCAAAGTCAATTCTATACACTGAAAACATGAAAGTCTGCAGAGAATACACTTGAAACTGAAAACAGACTCAGTCTCCACTAATTCAACATTGCAATGAAAGATATTCTTCGGCATGTTTACCCAGATTTGTCTAAGAAAATCAACACTTAACAAAGTTTTATTGCAAGAAACATTGTCATGCATCACAAACAGGAGAGCTCAAAAATTCTAAGACATTTCTATGATCAGAAGCTTAGATACTTTAAAAGCACAGTAATGTGTTCTAAGACATTACAGATTGAAAGGTTAGGGCAACAACACAGCTTCAAAGTCTGAAGTGATTTAGAGATGACAGAGAAAGCTACATACAACTACAGTTATTATTAAGTTTGCAAAACAACTGAATATTGGTTTTACAAAAGTAATTGTCAATGACACAACAATCAAAACAATGGAACTGACCTAAAATAGCACCTACTTTGAATACCACTTCCACAACTTCCAGTTATTCAAAATCGCTTCATACGCACAAATTCAATCCATGAATACTATTAAAAATGATGCTCCATATAGACCCAGTTATGCAAACTACTAAATGACATCTTAATAATAAATTTTACAAACTTCATTACGAAGCTCCCAATGGAATGTAACCTTAAATTGAAATGAATCCATGGTTAATTAAATGCTTCAGTGACTTCAGTGATTAATGCCTTGAAAAAAGATGACTTAATATAAACATGATCACCAAAACAGCCTGAAAAGTACTGATGTGTGAAGGCTTCCACAAAATGTCAACAAAATTCCTTCTTAATTTCAAAACTGAAGTACCGGTGAAATATCGACTGCCTCTATAGAATTATACTCCAATATTTATTAACTGAACTCAATAGTCTTTGACTAGTTTACATTCCTCACATTCAAGATCATTGGCACATCCTAATTATGATAAGAACTTGTACACAAAACATATCCAAATAAACAAGAAATGATGGCATGAGATCTGAGGTTTGTTTGAATAACCTAATTCTAGCACTTCATGCATGAAGCTTCAATAAAGAGGACTGAAAACCAAAAGTTGTCTTAAGTCAATTTTTCTGACTCGCAAGAAGTCTAAACAAAATTGTTCAGCATTATAGCCTGCAACCTTTTCAAGATAAACATTGTGCATCAAGGCAAAGGTAATTAAATATTGATTACCCTGTAATTTTCCACTATATATGCCTGCCTTATTTACTGCTTATTTTTCTAGTTTTGATCTTGAATTTTGCTTATCTTTGAGGCTACTGCATATTGAAGATAGAAGAATCTAACAAGCTGTTATACACTGTATGTACATGAATAAACACAAATTATATTGCTTTCTCTCACCATATGAGAACTCTCCTCATTCCTTTAAAGGAGGACTATTGTTAAATACTTACTAATTCAATTTAAAAAGTCAAGAAAGAAGAAATTTTAGCAGCGTTAATCATAAATAAAAAAAATCAATGCATATTAAAGTGATATTACATTGCATCATTAAGATCTGATCTATAAACAAAACAAAAATGTGTTCCATGACAACTCTTAACTTCTTGGAAAATAATGTCTTCCCCATTGAAAATGTATTTTTAAATTGATCTAAAGTATCTTCACTTGTTCTCTAAATTTCCCTTTTTCATTTTTTTCTTTAACAATTCAAAGTTAGACACTGATCAAACAAAGCTAAGGAGAAGATATTCACTGTGAAATAAATATTTTTAGACAAATTTTACAAAATCCCAATGCTTATCTATTTTAAGGTTAAAAAAAAAACTGAGAAAAACTCGTGCTCTGAATGAATGTAACTCAATTTCATGCAACCACATAAAAACAATTATCAAATTTTTGTCTTGTCTAATTCAATTACCTACAGAGTATAAGTGTGTACAATGGAATTTGCTTTAGTTTATGATAGATACTCTAAAAGTTCCTAAAACTCTGCTCAAAAGAAATTATTTTGCATGTCATTATGTAGGATTGTAGGACATTGGAGGAAAAGTGATCTTTGTTTCAATGCTCATCAGAGAAAGTGGGCAACCAAGTCATGTCACTGGTTTTAGTTTATCCCCTGATTGGTAGAGAGAGTTGTGCAAGAAATCTAGATCAAGGACCAAAGTAAAGCAAAACCAATGCAATCACATTCTCTCAACACTCAATTGCTCTATAGTTGCCTGTCCTGTTTTTAATTACATCTAAAAGTAAGCATCAGCATTTAGAGGCAATAAAGGCAAAACTAGCTTGATAGGATCAAACCAAATAGGATTTAAGAGCACATGAATTTATTGATCCTATGACTCACATTTCCAGGTAAATTAAAACAATTTTTTTGCTGTTGTTGCTGCTTTTGTTGTCAAAATATCATTCTTGCTGAAATGTATCTCTGTTCTAGGACACCTGTTTAATGGATAGAAGTTAACTCTTTACATCCTAGCATCAGTATCAATATTCCCCAAACTCTTCTCTATAAGTTTCCTTTGGTCTGAACAGGGAGAATTTGTTTTTTAATAAAAGCATCTTAGGTTGATGATCATTTCCTTTGTTCTTGTAATATTAATGAATGATTCAGCAGTATTACTGCAAGGAGAATTTAGATGCTGATCTCTCTTAGGGTTTAAAGGGCTAAAGGGTGAAATGGCATGGTACAAAGGTTTCACTCACCTCTTGAGAGTTACTTAGAGATGGATCCTTTGTTCCAACTGGTCCAATTTGTGAACTATGCTGAGATTTACCAGCTATTCCAACTTCAGTTAAAGTACCAGTCAGTGAACTGTGGTGTGACCCCAAGGACATTTGAGAATCAGCTGAACTCTCGCGAGAATGAAATGAGGACACATTCACCACAGGAGGAGCAGGTCGGCTCAAGTTATCACCCTGTGAAGTTGAAACATTATTCACAGCTTCAGGGAAGGAATCAGAACCAACACCTGAATCATTTCGCTCTGTATTTTTACACTGTTCATTAAATGATGTAACAGCTTCATGCAACCCTTGCTGGTCCACTCTTTTCAGAGGTTTTAAGTCATTTTGTGTGGTCTGTTCTTGCATCTGAAAAGAATCAATATCCATAGGCAATCCATTTACCATGTGACTGGTAATAAAATTAACTGTTGGAGGTTCACATGTCGAGTTCTCATCATCAAATGGTTGTCGGAATACCCCATCTGACTCTGATTGGCTAGAAGATAATGACAAAGACCGTCCCCTTCTTTCACCATCACTACTTGCTCCACCAGACTCTGACCCTGTTCTCTCCTTGAACATGCCAGTGATGGCTTTCAGGACAGGGCTAGAAGAGGCAGGAAATTCAATACAACCTCCCTTTGCATCCTCGGTACATTGTATTCCATACTTATCAGCAAGATGCTGATGAGCTTGATGAGAATTGAGCTCTGGATTCACTGAGAAAACATGACAAGAACAATTTACAGTGCTTTGGATGTCAGTTTTGTGATTATTTTGAACCTGCCAGTTACTGGAGGCATTATTGAACTTATCTGCAGATGGTTCATTAGTTTTTCTGGTGACTATACCAAACACTCTTTTATCGTCAGAGCAGAGTCCAGTAAATGCCAAGGACTTAATGGGGTACGTAACAACAGCTCTCTTCTCGTTATCCAAGAGCTTTATCCCGATTAAAGAGACTTCCATGAGAAAAAACACATGAACTTTTTGTTGTGCTCGAAGACGTCGAACACAATTTCTTATTGCACTCAGACTTGCGGCTGGAAGACTTGACGCTGCGGGCAGTTCAATAGAACCTAAATAGCCTACAATAGATCGAAGTTCCGGTTCTAGGTCGATATCTGCCTGATCACAACCTTTCAACGGCGTCATTTTAGGATAAAGGAGTCGAGATAACATCGGAGATGATGAACTATTTGACGCAACATCTCCCTCGCTAGATCGCCTGCTACTCGCGTAACTCTGAGCAGGAGAGGAACCAGGAACAGAGCTTTCAGACCTAATACTTTCACAAAAAGAAGCTTTTAATTCTTCATCCGTAACGATATCATCTTCAGATATAAATTTTCCGTTGGATAAAGAACTGTTTAGCGACGGCGAATCCCCGAATAGTTGACCCGACTTCAATTCCTCAACGACTTTATCAACTCGATTCAATATCGTTTCGTTTATCACTGTTTCTTCTTGATTTTCCGCGTTGATTTTCGTTTCGTTCATTCTTAACCTTTGCAATTCTGACCGGTTACGAACCCCAAGTTGAACCATCCCATCCGGAGAGCGCGCAATGAGTTTGACAACTTGTTCATGCGGAGCACTTTCCACGGAAGCCCCATTAACTTCGATTATCTCGTCACCTGGTTTCAGGCCTGCCCTGTGAGCGGGACTTCCAGCTATAATACAGCTGAGTACACATGGTCCCTGGCTTGACAGCGTGAAACCAAATCCGCCAGTCCGTCGGTATAAATCGACCGTTCGAACGAGATTCCCTTTGAACGGTTTATAACTCGGCTGCATGTCGTATCGAGGAAATTCCAATTAATATACTTGCTACATAAAATTCCTCATCGTTCCTGATCCACGGTATATTTGCTTGTAAAATAAAAAGGCGAACGAGAATGTTTTGTCGAAACACTCAAACTGCTATACAAAATGTCCAGCATGATAAATTTCGTTCACCAAATGAACATCAACACCGATAACACGTTCGAAATGTAGCGAGAATCCTTACACATCTATGGCTTCACATCTCCACAAATGTCACTAAATTCCTCATAACAATCCAAACGCTCGGCCATCAAAGGACTGAAAAGATACTCGCAGATAATTAACAACTTGTTGAACGTTTCAACTTCCACTAAACACAAAAAATAGTTTCCAATTTGCGGGCTCTTGGGTTCCTTAATCTCGATAAAGGTTTCGAGAAGTATTGTTTAGCACAGAGATGAACGTAACCGACTTCATCACGTGTAAGAAATGAAGCCTTCTAATTGGCTTGTAGATGATTTGTTGTGTAAATTTGTGGCAGGGAAAAATTTCGTGACATTATTTGCGTTTTGCAAACGGATAAGCATTAAAAGAACAAACATCAACAGGATAGTCACATTTCTGCTTACTTTTTAAGCGATTAAATGATCACGTAGGATTTTTCTGTCTCGGTTTGTTCACTATAAAGCGGACGTGATCTAATCTAAGATTTTAGGATCGCCCACTAATAGGCAATTATGGATTATCAAATAACCAAATCAAACAATATCTTACATTTGCAGTGGAGGCAAATAAACAGAGATTGCTTTAAAGTGTTTTATTGAACGAAAATATTGTCATTGGAACAAGCTCATTATGGGAAGAGCAAACCAAATTGTTGAATGTCATCGAAAAACGGAGCTATTATCGTAATTTGATTATTTGACAAAGCAATTGATGCCTATACCGCAGGCGAGGTGAGTTCGTAGTTTTAGTTGTAATTTTCGGAAGGAATCCTTCTGAGAAAACATTAATATTCCGCGAATTTTTAATCGCAACAGCCATATTTTTGTACACGGGATTCGGAAAGCACTGGCGACAATAACGTTCTCGGGCCATTAACAACTCGATGAAGGGGTAAACTGTTTTTGCTGCGTCTGGAGGGTGTTACAAGAGTAAATTAGTTTCATGACCTTTTATCAACCGAGTTGTAATGTAAATTAGCCACCGTTAAGATTTTCTAAGGCTGACGTTTCGAGCGTCAGCCCTTCGTCAGGGTGGATTGTGTTTTTCTGATGGCGAACCACGCTCTCCTTATCAAGGATTATCAAAGAGGGTCAAGGTCTCACACAACTTGGTAGAGTTTTTTTAGGCGCTTGCGTCTCTTATGAGGCAGCCTGAAGGATATGGGAGGTTTCTGAAGTTTGATTGTACAAAACCTTAAATCATATACCGATAGATATACCATGGCGTTCATTTAAGTTTATTTAATAAGCTTCAAAAGTTTACTGAGAGAAATAACATGAACATTTGTATCTGTTTTCAATTCACTTACTTGACATCTGGAGATTCTCATGTCCCGTGTCCATGACAACTCTTTCCAGCTGATACCCTCCTGTTTCCTCTTCCAAGTTCACGTGTGTGCAACCAAAGACTCGGTGACCATACTATTCTATTTTCACCAGTTCTTCTCAGCTTTATTTATGTCTGTTTTGACTGTACTGCCTTTTCACAATGTGGTGGTCGTGTTAGTATGCACTGAATCGCAGACAAATGTGTGTCTAACACGTGCGTTATTTTCTGGTTTGTCATTGTACAAATTATAGACAGGATCTTACCTCCCATGACGAAGTGCTCTGTGACGGGGCTCGTACGATCTCCACAGCCCTCTATATATGGATATCCGGTGCTGATTTAACACAAAGTCCTTTGAAAGTCATTCAGTCATGCGCGATATTTTCCTTTTAATATGTTCCATATCAGGCCTGGTTCCATATTTATCTACATGGGGGACGTTTCAGTTTATATAGTAACATGATCAAATCAATTGCCAGACAATAAAATGACAAGGAAAACAATTCTGGCTAGACACAATGGGATCAAGCTGAGAACTGAATCCTTGAAAAAAGAATAAAAGATAAAAAAAAAACGCCCTGTTTTTTTTTACCAAAGGATAATCTCTCTCAAGTTAAAACACTTTTCGACTGGGTGTCATAGAACCAATCCAAAGTAATCGCAACAGCCAATCAGGGCAAGGGGAAGTATCACAACGCGCCAAACGATTAACTCAGAGTTTCTAAAGCGCGGGAAAACGAGCGCAATCGTGACGCGGATTTTAGTTTTGCATTTGATTGGTTGGTATCCTATACAAGAATATCCATATATTCAGTCGTTTTGTGCCTACGAAAGTTTGATTCGTACCAAAATTCAGACGATTTGTACCCAGTTTGTGTCGGTTCGTACCTGGCCTGCTGGTCGATTCGCAACTTATGGGGAGCCATTTGTGCCAAAAATGTGAATCGCTGGTGGTACAACTCAATCGTTAGTGCTACCTATGAATCGCTAGTGATAAAAGTCACTTGTTAGTGCTAGAAACAAATTGTAGTTGTAAACCAATTTAGTTGCCTTTTTAAAATGGTCGGTAGTGGTGAACATCGATCGCTTTTGCGTTGTTGCATCAAACGACGCTGGAAGGCTTAAGTTGAAAGCGCTATTGCCGGTGTTTTGAGGCAGATCGGTTGCGCCAAATATCAATCGTAGTTCTTATAGTCGATCAATAGTGTTAAACCTTTATCACCCGAGTTATTTTTTTTAAACATCAAGCAATCGCTAGTCAATCGCTAGTGTTGCGACCGATTGCTTGAGATAAATAGAAATCGCTACCCCAAAACGTCAATCGTTAGTGCTAGTATCGATTTTCTATTGATTTTACCGTCGATGACATAACAGTAATCGAGATCTCAATTAAATCTCTAAAAGAAATCTTTTGGTTTATTCTGGCATAGTGATGCATGAATACATTTCAGTGTCATCAAGTAGAGTTTTTTCCTAAGGATGTACATTTGTAGATCATTCGCTCTCTATTAATGCGCGTGAGAGTTGATTCCGGCGCCCCTAGACTTCTTCTTAATCAACTGTCGCAACATGAAACTCTCGAGCTCATAATTTAATTGCCAAATAGATGTACTGTTTTCCAGAAACTCCTCTTAATTAAGAATGAGTATAATCCTTCAAGAGTTTCTACATAAAGATACTTCCATCCTTAGTCTTCAAGTTAGCTAGATTATTTCTCATTTAGCTGAATGATTCGCGCCCGATAAATAGCATTTTAAATAGCTGTATATTTTTTAACTTCTTGCGCTTAAGATGGTGCATAATCTTTCAAGAGGTTTCATATTTAGATAATTCTTTCTGAAAATACTAATAAAAGTTGTAATGGTTGAAGTTCATAAATGCTAATAAAATATTTCGAAAGCAGTCGAATAACGAAAGCCCCTACTTCAGAATCGAGAAAGCTTAGACCTGCAAAAGCTCTCATCCTTCCACATCAGTACAGCTCATTCCTCTTTTTAACAACCTATGGGAAGTTTGGGGGAATTAATCGATTTTTAAATATACACTGTCAACTGCCGCATCAATCAGGACGGTACAGAGACCTTTGCCCTCGAATATAAATACTCGACAGCCGATATGTGCACCTTTATCGGTCGACTGTCGGCCGATATATCGGTCCACTGTCGGCCGATCTATCGGTCGACTATCGGCCGATAGTCGGTCGACCGATAGTCGACCTATAGTCGGTTGATTGTCGACCGATAGTCGACCGATATATCGGCTGACAGTCGACCGATAAATGTGTACATATCGGGTGATGCATTGGTCGACTATTGGTCTATATATCAGTCGACTATCGGTCGACTATCGGTCGATTGTCGGCCATATGTCGACCGAGGCCACCTATAGTACATATGATCTGACTTCCTTAGGGGAGTCTTACTGTGTAACCGCATCCTCAAGGGTAACACGAAACCTGAGCTTAACCAAACCCAAGCCATTTACCCACCGTAAGGCCCCAAACCCAAGGTGTGTGTAACCACCACTAATTTCTGTAAGTGACCCGTCTGTCCTTCGATATAAAAACATTACACCCCGAGGGCCTGCAAATATGACTAACGCATTCTAAATTAAATATGACTAATTCTAAATTAAATATGACTAACGCATTGTCCGCATTCTATTGCGACAAGCTCATCACTGAAATTTTATTACAACACTGAGTGCGTTACACACAGCGTGGAGTTTCTAATGTGAAAGTTGGCTTTGCTCTCTCTAAAGTTATCACAGCTGGTATTTGAGGAATCAGTTTCAACCAAAAACCGATCACATTCTTCAAGAAAGA